CCTTTCAAGCAAGAATAGCTCCTGAAGGGCCGCTTTTACAGCTCCACGTTTGAGGGAATGTGCAGATTTGCTGGGGCCTGCCCAACTTATGCTGAGGTCTGCGCAGCGGGCAAATAAAAGTAAACCAAATACCTGAGAGAATGCTAGGACCCTCGATTCAGGGGCAGTGGGCTCTCTTGCACTTTTCCCGAGCCCGAAATTGAAGCTTTGCAGTGCCGGCTTGCCATTGAGTATTTGAAAGTTGCCTCTTGCAGTTGGCTCTCTCATGCATATGAAAGTTCACGTGGGCTAGGGCCCTTCTTGTGGGCTAATATATTGAGGCAGAAGAAAGACACTTATTTACCACTGGTTGATTCTGACCGTTGCAGGGATCAGCAATCGTCTGCGAACGTTACATCCACCCCCCTAAACCCTAAACCCTAAACCCCAGCATGACAAGACATCATGCCCTCAATCGTTGCACGTCTGCAACTACTGACTGTGCGGTGGCCTGTACTACTGTAATATATTGGGGTTATATAGGGATAATGGGGTTATATAGGGATAATGGAAAAGAAAATGGAAACTACTATAGTATATTGGGGTTGTATTGGAATAATGGAAAATAAAATGGAAACTACTTGTGTTCCTAAGGCCTCTCTAACTGTCATCAACCTTTTGCACTACATGCTTGACACCCACGCCCTGCATGTGCATTCGTTTGTCTACCAAGCCCGTTTCAGGCAATGACCAAAGTTCTCTGCTTTATTCAGCCCTGTAAGACTGTAAGACTGCAACATTGCCACAAAATCTCGATGCACCGCTGGAGCAGCAGCGTGGCCAGTTCCTCATGGCCCTCCGTCGTGGTGCCTGAAGAACACCACGGTTGATACCAAAAATCTTGCATGACCTTAATATACTGAACTCCCATCACTCCCAAGGGATAATGTACTTAGGGTCATGCAGGATTGTTAGTATAGTCCCCCTTAAGTAGATAGAACATGGCTCCCCATATTCTGTCTACTTAAGGGGGACTATATCCACTGTAGCACAAAGAGCTCGAGGAGATATATAGGGGATTATAAAGGGGACTACTATAGGGGCTATTGAGGGGATACCAGGAGTTTAGACTATGGATCATTTTGGTTCATCTGTTTTTTAGCACAGTTAGGTCAGCCCAGTACTACCACCAGCAGCCTGCCAAGTTGGCTGCCGAATCAAAACACCAGAGAGGGCAAGGTGCATACAATGCCGTAAACCTTTGTTGATGTATGGAACAGAGGAAATCTATTGGTGTAAGGTCCATGGCCTATCGGTGCACATTGGCCTGAGCAAGGTCCGTAGGAAACAGCGGGCGGAAACGACCGAGGACGGAGAGCATCGTAAGATAGATAACCAACTAAGGATCCACGCAAAAAGCAGCATCAGTGAAAACAGTCAGTAATGCACAGATCCAAATTCACACCGTCCCCTCACAAATCTCTAACACAAGACGGCCCTCACCAAGTAGTAGCCCTCCAGTCCCGACACCAGCACCACCGCCACCCCAAACAGGTCGTTGCGGCCTCCAGCGGGGTTCTGCATTGGGAAGTATAAGCGGGTTGTGCACGAAACTCCAGACAAAATGCACAGATAAAGTTCTCTCTGGAGCATTCCGCAGAAACTTAGAAACCCCTCAAATAATCACCGCCAAGAACATAAGTGATATAGCCTGTAGCTAAACGACATCTACAAACACACAACATGCTGCGAAGATGCCAGGAAACCCCAACCCTCATCCCGAACAACCAGCCGCCTCCCAACATCTGTGTACAAACCTTACACAAACCTGCATTACCCACCTAGTTCAACCGCAAGCCTGGCCCAGCGAAACCGTATTGAAAGCCCCTTGCACATGGGCTGTTCTGGGCCCTTTTTGGTTATAGAGTATATTACCGCACCTACTGTTCAGGGGGACCAAAATGGGACCCTAATTTTGAGAACCCCCCACGTGGCTTCGGCCAAGCGTCGGTGTAGCGGCGTGACCTGGGTTCTAGCTGGGGCTGTCCCTACGACGGATCCAGAATTTCAGGGCATAGGGTTTGGGTTTTAGGGTATCCACTACGACCCCCACACACCTCCTAACATGACATGTTTTCTATACGACAAGAGAAACTGTATCTTGGGGGACATATGATCCGAAGTATTGGGGTGGGGCGCGGGTGGTTCATACCAGGGCGAGACGATACGCATGGACCGTGTACCAAAAAATTGGAAAACCTGAAAGGCCCTCTAAATAAAGCCCTGCAATGCCGAACCCCCTGTGATGTCTCAACACATGTACAAACAAGATCAAATGTCAAGGAAGACTTGCCTCCTGTCAGCATGTAACCTTTAAGCACTAAAGTGATCCCGGGAATACATTATACGACTGCTTGCTTGCAAGACTCTAGACACCCTGGACTTTGGACCTCGACCTGAATCCTACCCCAAAGCGTAAAAAGCCTAATCCCGAAGCCTGAGCTCAAAACCCACAGTCCCACAACCCCTAGACGCTGATCCTTGAGACCCATACACCCTCATCCTGAGGAAGTGAATCATATACGCGACAGCGTAGCAAAAGGTGTTGCACTTGTAACGTTCTGCCGGCCCCCAAAGTCCATATTTGTACTATCTGCCAGTCCCTAGGGACCCATATACCCGCATGTAGGTAATTTTTGCAGACTTAGGGGCCCAATGTACGTGTTGTTTGTATACCTGTATCCCTCGGGAATTTCAGAGAGCATCTCTCCTGAAATCCCGTGCAGACACATGACGCCATAGGCTAGCAGTTGTGGTACTCCAGGAACTCTGCGAGACTGGCTTGTTCCCTTGACCACTCAAGCCTATGTACTTACTGTTGAGGACTCTATAACCCGCAATTGAAGCTACTGGGGTGGCCCTTGCTCTTACTCTTACTTGTGCTACCACCACTACTTCAAGCCAAAGGTCCAAATCCTGAAAGATCAGATCCACAACGCCCACAGACCCCCCCCTACAAGCTAACAATAAACCTGCCAACCCCCTCTACTTTACAAAAATGCCGATTGCTAATGATAATCATGACATTTATATGGGGAGCAATTCTTGTAAGGAGGGTGGGGGGGGGGTATTATTGGGGGATGGGTTACAACCCCAGCAAGTACACCTGAAAAGTGAACCGCTAATCCGCAACGAAAAACGCAGCAACTCAGCCCAAGCAGCACCCTTAGCGCCCCGACTCAGAGGGTCGCCTCTGGCTTTCAGCAAGGCCTCAGCAGCAGGGCATGAAAATTAAGGTCTATAGACTCATAATATTCGCTATCAAATTGCAGGTAAGAATAATGTCACAGTACTGGTATTTATGTGCATAACATTCAGAAGCCTATGCGCTCAGCCATGCAATACCAATTAGTTCGGGTCTCCCTCAAACAGCAAAGGAAACTTGCCAAAAGGCATGACAAATCGCTGATTAAGAGTCTTGGAGATGCGGGGGCCTCTCTTATGCAAAGGTTTGGTGCATCATCACCCACGCCTTGCAAACGTCCACGTGCCCTCGCCCGGCAGCTTCTGAAAGGGGCCGACCCAGGATTTCAGTCCTAGGTATAATGCGTTGAATTTATGGATCTTATTACTCCTACTGGCATGCAAATGACCGGCACCTTGAACCATATGGCTGTGTGCACTGCTACGTTTATTAAGCATTGCACTTTCTTATCTCGCTCGGACTGACTGCGACTGTGCTTGCCAGGTAGCCTGTAGTAGCAGCTGCTTAGAACCTCCGGGGCAAGCTTGTAGGCACAGCGGCAATTGCTAGGAACATACTAGGGAAGGCCTGCGCAAGGGCACCTGCCTCGAAATTATTAACTGTACTGGGATCTTACTTGGGTGGATTTGAGAGTCAGTCTCATGACGTCAGTGACTGCAACGAAGCTATGCCCAACGAAGAACCACCAACTACCATGATGTTTGCAATTGTTGAGCACTCCGTTCTGAAATTCGCGTGTTGCGAAAGTCCTGAAAACGACTGCCTGCTGATGATGCTGGAGCGGCATGCGCAAGCAGCAAGTGCCAAGAGGCATGCTAGCACTCAGGAGCACCACAGCGCGAAAAATCAAGACCGCTGAAAAGAACGCTATTGACGAGTACTAGTCTAACTGATATGGGAATGTGTTCCGAATCTAGTCTTCGTTTGCGTTCATCTTCCTAGGCTTACGTATTTGGAAGAAACGGGCACCTTCCCTTCACTGCTAATACAAAAAGTTCGAAATGGGGCATGGCAGCTTTGGCCGCATTTCAGCGGCAGCCAAGAAGCCCTATGCATGCACAGCAGCTATGCTGAAGCGAAAACTGCAGGAGCCATACAGAGGACAGCTATGCAAGCTGTTGGTGCTTGAGCTCGAATTGCTCTGCATTAAGCAGGCCCTCCTGCTTCAGCTGCT